GTAAATGCACTACACAACATAATATTTTACGACATAAGATAGCTGTGGCTTTCCATATTTGCGTTTTAGTGCGTGTTGTTATCGTCGCTTGGGAGTCAATTCCAGCGCGTGCGCAGGTGACGACCCTCCAGCTTTAATTAATTATTCACGTTTAGCCGCTAGTTCTGCTTACAAGTCATGTACATTGACATTTGTCGTATGATACTGGTCAGTAACACTACGTTAGGGTTACATATTTTATGCATATTCTGAGCTTATTATTGTGTATATTGTGGAGTGCACTTCATTCATTTAATTCATGAACTTATTATAATACAACTGCTGTAATTTCGTGACGTGTTTTGCCCAATTAGGCTGTTCAGACGATGGAAATTTGGCAATATTTAATGTTTGGAACGTCGTCAGTTTAAACGATTCACTCGTACATTGTTTACATTTACATGTAAGCCCCATGTTATTGCGCGGGCTCTAACTCGTTGAGAATGTGTTAACACGTACAGGATTCTATTCTGACTGGTATTCCTGCTGAGATTTGAGCCTTGTGCGTAGTGACCTTTAATCTGTTCCAGTTATATTTAATAAACCGTTAACAGATAGTATATGATTGCATCTCCTGTATGTTCACACTGACAACACCAAGGTCACCAGTTATTGCTTGTTGGTTGTATACAAATATACAAGTCACAATTAATGCTAAAAAGTAGCAGTGGGGCAAAGAACCCACAACACAAGGGTAGTCTTTGTTGGGTTGCATTGTGACTGCTTTTTCACTGTCGTATAGAGCGTTTAAAGCGCGGTGGTCGTCGCGCAGCGCGTGTTCGAATATTATGTAAATTAACAATGTATTTTACACGCGTTGTGTACGTCTCTATGAGTCCCATATTGAACAGGACGCGGCACGACGACTACCGCCCTTTAACTTCATTGCGAGAACAATTTCATAAACATTGGAAATAGTGACATGCGTCAGGTACTACAGGAAAACTCTCTACTTGCTACGCCACACTGACTGCACCCAAACAAATCAGTTCGAAATAACGTATGCTGAACACCGCCCGCAGCGATAAATGGTAAAGCACAAGATGAATTTGGATATAACAAACAACGTATATAGATAGTAGTCAATGTGAGGCAGACACTGTCTAATACAACTGTCTTCCTCGACAATGATAATCTCGTACAAATAAACTCCCCATGGATGACAATGTCCAATAAAACCTGGAAATTAAGGGCAGGAATGTTGTATGGCTAAGCATATTATTACTGGCATTATATCTGCTTATGTCAGTTCATCATTTCAAAACCAGTTTCAAAAATCGAGATATTCAATTTGAAATACAAGCATTTCAAAAAAGAGGGGGTTATACCACTGTCAGCTGGCGTACATGTGATAACAAAGTAAGTGCGAAAATTTACCGATATTTACTATGAGGGCCGCCATCTTGAATACGGCTTGAAACTAAAGTTGAGAAACGCGTTTTTTCAGATGACCAGAAATCAAAAAGTAACCAGTCTTGTGATTGGTTCTTGACAAATTCTGAATAGACCACGCCTCCAACTGTGCCTTGCTTTCCGTATAACCGTTAATTGTTCGTAAATTAAATCATTTTCTGTATTTTTTTATTCTGCAAATATCAATTGAATATAGGCGAGGCTTTGGCAACTAATATTCTTTATGCTGATAATTTTTATTGATTTTAAATTTAATTTTTTTTCAGTTTAAATAATATGGGTTCGCTGTGGTCTACCAAGAACCAAGAGTCTGATGAAACAACCACTATGCTACAAGTGACCGGTATATTTAGTAATTATTCGGCATGATAATTATTCGTCATAACAGAATTTTACGAGTCGGGTAAAATCTTAATGATATTTTTTTGAATTATGGCAAAATTATGGTTTCAGTGGCAGATCTTGTATTTGTATAGTATTGATATGAACATGTGCGTATTGTTTAATAAACCGACCAACTAAACATTAGAAATACAATAATTTTGATTTGAAACCAATCATGATTTATATACTTTTCTTATATGCAATTCATACCTTAGCGGCCACCGTTGACGACTGTAGCAGTGTTGCTGCCCACGTCCACTGTGAGACTATTGTGGTAGCTGTCAGTCCAACTGACACTTCTCCGCCTGCATCAAAGTCAGTGTCAAGATTATCCTGCAAAAAAGAGAAATACTTGAAATTATTTGTTGTCACAGTGATGAAATTGTTGGCGTGATATTAATTGTTCATGATTAAATCAGTGTGTCTGGGTCACGAATACATCACTGTAATTGGACTATACCTGGTTTATCTATACATTTCAATAATGCATAATGCGCCATCTGTCATTGTTATCGATACTTAATATTTAGAGACGTGCATTATGCATTCTCGTATCCTTTATTGTGGGTACATGCTAATCACACACGTTCCAGATACATAATATTGTTCTTGAGATATGAGAACTTCAAAATTTGATCTTTTACCTTTATGAATCGTTTAAAATGTAGACGTAAAGAAAAGGATCGTCTCAATTTAAAAAAAATAATATCTAGGGATCTCCTGAAGTACATTGTCAAAAAATGAAGCCGTGTTGTGAAGCTAATAAGAAGAAAGGAAATAGATTTGCCAGTCCAGTCAGCGCATGCGCAAATTCGGCGCTGCTACCGTGGCACCCCTAAAAACAAAAACAAACTAGGATTGCCAGCAAGTTGCACTTTCTGCAACACGTTTTTACTATTTACAGATAAAATTAATTACATTTTACATTTTGTTGATATATTTGCAAACTTGTGTTTAGGATTTGAAATTGGAAATTATGTACGAATTACGACATTTAATTTGGAAAATGCTTTACATACTTACAAAATATAAGATCTTTGCACAAATTACGGACATTTTACACCTCTCCCAATTATATATTACGAAAATATAAACAATTAATTGTGCACAGCTTACGAAAATACCGCTTTCTGACCCTCTTTTTAGTTGCGGGAATACCAGATTGCGTTTCTAGAGCCAGTAAAAGGCGCAAGAACTGATGAAACTAATGGGGTTCAAAGGCAGTTGTATTTACACTGCTCTCTATATATTGCAAAACATATTATATATCGATAAGCGTTATTGACATCTAAATAAGCAAAACGGTGTTGTGGTTTTAGAATGTTTCATTTAAAATGTAACTTCGTTATGTACTTATAAGGATGAAGAAAACTTCTAAAAACATTCTTTTGGTTAGTGTATTTTCCCTGGCTGCATCAAATATAAAATGTAACAACTTCGAATTATATAAATAGAAAAATGTGTTATTTTCCTGCTAGAGGGAAGACAATTATGTTCAAATATTTCACAGTGTGGATACACACCAATTCCAGTCCCACATTATCCAGTCACGATATCACAGATAAATCAGTTCAAGTTGCATTTTCTGTGGCGTTAAGGGTGGTAGTCGTCGCGCCACGCATGCGCGAGATATGTGGGTCTCATATAAACAAAGATGGCGACTTTGACTGTTGCGCAGATCAATGAGTACAAACTGAGACATTAGAAGAGCGCATTGGATTGTGGGAAAATCAATGTTTATCAACACAAATGATGCATATGCGCGAGAATTTATAAGCACATCTAAAACATTATGTATCGTTATGTTATGTGGAACATACACGTTAAATATGACCATTGTCTTTATTAAATGACGCATAATTCCATATTTCATTGAATATTATTATCTTTGAATAAATGACATGTTGATATTTTATTCATTCATTTGCTGCTGACAATTATGTTAACCACAATTCTTTTATGATATAATATCGATATCATCATCGCTCAGGAGACAACGGATGTTTTTTCCAAAACTGGTGGATGAGGTTTTGGGAAGATTGGTGACGATTCTGTGAAAACATCTTTCTGTATTATGTTGTATTTTACATTTCTGTACATATTGTTATCGGCCGTTTCTACAGAGTACTCGGCTTCTTCTATGTCCCAAGTATATTTATTCGAATCTTATTGTGATTTTTGGTAGTTTAGATGTATGTACAGGAATTGTTCCAAGGCGTACACATTTAAAAGAAAATATTCATGCATGCAACACTGGGGTTTATTTCTAACGTGCAGAATGATGACTTAAGCACTGTAGTGAGACTAAACTGTTCGATGGTATTCTTTTTGACCGCAGAGTCATCAATGTCATCAATTGAACTAATGTTAACTTTGAGTCTTTAGTTGAACAGTTAAGAGACATTCTCAAAATGTAATGTCAAGCAAATTATCGAAGCTCAAAAACAAACAAGCTTAAACAATTGGAGATTCTTCATGAAATGATAGAATCATAAAAAAATAACAAAAAAGCGTAACAACGATTAATTCTTAAATTACAAATTTAGAGCAATGTACCAATTACAAAAGTTTAAGTTAAAAAAATCAATTAAAATCCTGAAATCAGGGAAATCACCAGGAAATTATAAGATATACTAGTAGTCGTATTTTCTCATTAATTCTTTAACCAAATTGTTCAATCTCATTTTAAATGCAGGATATTTCCAAGATTCTTAAAATATAAATAGTATAACACATCTATATAAAAAGAAGACAATAATGACCCTAGACTGACCCAGGCATCTTCGCCAGCAAAGGTACGTTTATTCGGCTATCGCCTCAACGCTACATCTTGGCAGAGTGGTATACCCAACGTATGTTTAAGTGCGCCCTCTCTGGCAATACTACATATATTATCTTAAATTCATTGTCCAGTCAAATTGCTCGTTATAGTAAGTATTGCTACATCACAGACAAAATTGTACATTAGGAGAGACTGAACTGACATTTTATAATCTGTTACTTGAGAGTTAAAAGTGCAACTAATTAGATCAATTCTATCTATTAATTTGTTTTCCAACTTTTCACTATACTACACTGAATAAACAAACATATCTAAAATAAACTGTATGATTATTTCATTGATTTTACAGAGGGCATTTGATTGTGTTTGGAGTAATGTTTTTTTTTATAAAATAATAGAAAAAATTAAAATAACAGATGTATTACAATTTTAAATCGGGGTAAAAGAAGGATAATGTAATCAGTCCAACTCTGTTCAATCTCGTCAAAAATGAGTGATACAATTAATTCTAATAAAAAAACCTTAACCCAATCATTTTAATTAACACAAAAGTCACATCACTACTGTATGCAGATATAAACTAGATACACATATCATGGTATTTTGCTAACATCAGCCGGAAAATTTGTGGAAACTAGAAAAGTATTAGCAGACAAAGCTGCTAAAGCAATGTTTTTACTCAACAAAACCCTGCAAGAAAATACTGACACTAAAATAATGATATCTAGCAGATATTTGTTATTAAATTCAATGAAAATATTAAACACTGGAGTTATTGTACAAAAAGTTAAAGGGCGCCCTCTATTGATATCATTTACCAAAAAGAAAATACTAAAAAAGGCAAAAAAAAACATATTTTTAAAAGAAACATGAAAATTACAAAATTCCTCATTCAAAAGAAAAGAAATTGAAAATTAATCTTCTGCCATGGCTATTTGATTTCCCGATTTTCTGCTTGCAAAAAATTACCAAAAATACAATTTTTGAAAGATCGTCACTCCAAGGTTTATATAGGACAACTATACCAATACAGATCAACCATATATATAAGTTTGATAGCAATCGGATGAATATTATTTGAATTATTGTGCCCAAAAGAAAAGTTTAGGGCGACGCCGGACGACGCCGGACGACACAGATTTTGCCACTACTATCACTTCCCTTCACTTCATTACGGCAAGCAAAACAAATATTAAATATTGAAAGGCGGTGGTCGTCGCGCTGCGCATGTGCGACATTTGTTGATACACATTGATTTTCCCAGGCCATAATCCAATGCGTTCTTTTAATGGGAATCGCAAGTATGAGGGTTTGACCTGGGCTCGACTTGCACTAATTACTGCCGGTGACTCCTTCGATACGTTCCAACCACCTAAAAAAGACCTAATTAAAGCTTGGTAACGTCTCTTTTTGTACTCGTTGATCTTTGTTTATATGAGACTCATGGCGCGACGACTACCGCCCTTTAATCTGTTGATTTTCTGAGTAAAAGTCAATTACCCCCCCCCCCGTTTGTTAAAGATAATGACACTGTTTTCGCAATATTCGTGTAATTTGTCAAGACACTTATGGAGCCCTAAATTAGAATCTAATGAAATTGTTATGATAGCGACTTCACTTTCGCTCATTCGGTTCACATGCCGTTGCACTATTGATTAGAATCAACAACTTGCATGTTTAGGCTGGAAATTATAAACATATATTACAGGAATTTGATAAATGGATGTTTACTTATTGTATTTAGTAGTGGCAACTTTGCAAGGCTTTAACCGTGAAACACATCCCTGGTAATCACGTGATCGTGTCAACAACTGCAGCAATTGGACGATCACATGGTTACTGTGCCACGCCTTAGAGACTTGACTTTTAAGATAGAGAGTTTGTAACCTTTTGTAAGAGAGAGAGGGAGTACGTGAGAACTGTAGAGCGAGGGGGTGAACAAAACCATGTTTTACTCCGCTTTTGAACTGAAAAGAATATCACTTTCACTTCGGCTATAAGTGTTTTATGTGTATGTACATTTGAGTTACTCACTTTATCCATAAACACCTTCACTCTGAGTAGATTGTAAGTCTTTGCTAAGATAAAAGTAAACACCCCGAAACATATAACCAGCAGAAGTGCCTCTGTTAACGTGATCCCGACATCCACAACATCATTGATGGTGTCCGTATCGTTGTATTCTCTTAGAAGACTGTTGCAGAAGGTGGTATTCTTAGTCTCCGCAATCACATCACCAATATTTGTTAAGGTAAATATAACCACGAAGTAACAAAATACGTCCATGTTCATAGATTTATGGCTGCAAAGTGGTTTAACCTCAGACTATGATAGTTAGTTAGTGAACTATACTTGCGGCTGATCTGCACTGGCTCGGAAGATGAATTCTGATTGGCTAAAAAAAACAAAAAAACTTGTGGCGTTGAATGCACGTTCATTGTCAGTATTGTTATGCAAATTCAAACTAGCTAATCATTTACAACTTTCCGAGCCAGTGCAGATTAGCCCTATACTTGGGATGTTTCAAATGGTCCACGTACATGGGGGTGTATGATCTCCTCCCATGTAATAAAAAAATCAATACCGACGTATTTCGATATTAAAACAAGATTGTTTTTTATTTCTTGATCTATGCCCTCAGACATTTTGAGTATGATTGACAAACATGTCCTGAACTTATAAGGTCCATTAGTTTGACCAGTGGTGTAAACACCCTGCTCTCGTTGTTACATGGTCCCATGACGTTGACTCTTCAATTGTGATATGTTGTAGTTGAAACGTCCTTGTCGCTTTTTATTGTTAGTCACGTTCACACGATAAATCAACAAAACATCTAAAGAAGCATCTAAATAGTCTAAATAGTGCATATAATACCTTCTCTGATTAAAGAAACCTATAGCCAAGGACAAACACATTTGTAGAAGGAAAAGTAAATTCAGACCGAGCAATCACAGTTTAGAAATTGAAAGAAGAAGACACAACAGAATCAAGCGACAGATTCTGAGTGTAAATTATGTAATAAAATGATTATGGCGTTGAATCCATGCCAAAATTAATGATGGCATTTCACAAGACATCATTCCATTCCACAACCCAACATTCGACTATTCGTTATGCCATTCTGCTATACACAGTACCATTTTACATGACATCATTCCATTCAACAACCCAACATTCGACTATTCGTAATGCCATTCTGCTATATACAGTGCCATTCTACATGAATCATTCCATTTCACAACCAAACATTCGTAATGCCATTCTGCTATACACAGTGCCATTTT